ATCATATTTTAATTTAATTATTTATTCTTTTAACTAATAAATGTCTCAAAAAAAAAAAAACCTACCCATCAATTTAAATTCAAGCTTTATTAATTTAAATTTAAAGTAAAAACATTTAATTCTCCATAAATGTGAGGACAGGGAAAATAGGCATTAAAATTTTGCCCCACTCAAATTCCTGCAAGATGAAAGGGTACCGACGGTTGTCATCCCTACTAATCAACACATGTGTGCTACGTTGGGCTAATTTAATTAGCACGTGTTCTTGTAGCACAAGTATAATACATGTACCTAAAAATCTGGCTAATTAACACTACAATGGGGAGAGAAAAGGGAGATGGACAATTGTACATGATACATGTGCGGTCACCTCCTAATTTAGTCTGCACGTGCGCTATGTTTGGGCTAATTCGCTTGCGTACTTGTAGTACACGCATATAATACACATGTGCCTAAAAATCTAGCTAATTGGCACATGTAGCACATAATCCATGAGTAAAAGGGAGATGGACAATTGTACATGATACATGGGTGCTCACCTCCTAATTTCGTCTGCATGTGCGCTATGTTTGGCCTAATTAGCTTTTGTACTTGTAGTACACGTATATAATACACATGTGCCTAAAAATTTGGCTAATTGGCACATGTAGCACATAATCCATGAGTACTCACCACCTAAAAATCTGGTTAACTTATGGATTCAGGTATGGGTTCAGTTTCCTAGTTCAAGCCACGGTAGTATCGAGCATCGACCGTCATATATAGTGCAGATGCATCGTGTCTTGATTGGATGTCTAAGCTTAATAAAAAATATATATATTTTTTGGTTTCCCACCCGATATTCGGGTTTCGCTTTGACTAATTCGGATTCGACCCGTGTCGCGCACCTAAAAATGGTGGGTTAGTCTCCAATAAAAATTGCTGCATACACAAGGTCTCAAATTCGATATATTGCTTAAACTGTAACAAGTCGCTTACCACTTTATCCAACCTCTAGTTTGTTGGTAAAATATACTCTCAACTAATAGGGCAAGAAATGATTGTACGGAGACAGACAAGCACATCAACTGGGATTTGAATATTTGATCTTTAAAATATGCTAAGAGAGAGGCATCTAGGCCTCAAAACTGGTGCAGTTGTGCAAACTGTAGCCCGTGGCTGGGTTTTATTCCCGTGTCCCTCCACTTGAAATTGTACTTGTTCCAAAAAAAAAAAAAAAAAAGGGGGGAAAAACATGTTTATAGGGAGGGTGATTCATGTGAAGAGGTATTGACTTCTCAGTTTTATAATTTGGATAAAAAA